AAGCCTCTTAGAAGAAAGACGCATGTGTGATAATAGCACCTGAGCTAAAAACTAGACAGGATCGACTGAAAAAGGTCGCTGCTGCAAAGAGAATGAGCTGTGCCATAAGATCTTTCTCTTGAATGACACCGAAGATCCTCAAGCTCTTGTTCACTTTGCATATACGTCCGGTTCTACAGTATGGGTTGCCAGCTACATTCCCACTCTCTAAGCTTGAATGTGCCTTAATCCAAGTGATCCAGAAGCGTGGCTCTAAGTCCGTTTCCGTGCTTCGTGATCTTCCCTACTCCCTCCGGTTTCAGGAGATGAACCTGTTCCCCATGAAATATCGTCGCTGTTGTGGACTTCAACTTTATAAAGCGCAAACTACGAGGCGAACTTGGGAACGAGCTACAGCAGCTTCTTCAGCTCAACCTAGGTGGCTCGACATGAGGTCACAGTTGGAAGCCATTCAAACTGAGGAGGCGCAAAGTCCGCGTCACTGTCGCTCTTTCTAATAGGGAAGTAAATAGGTGGAACCTTCTACCAGAGACTGTTGTTGATGCGACGACCGAGGAAAGGTTCTAACTGCTACGCAAGACAACACTGTCCTACTGCGACTGCTCCAGCGTTAGTTTAACGTGCAATGACCCCAAAACAACCTAATAGGTATCGCTCAATAGGCGACTCACTTGGGCAGTTATGTGACCAACAACAATTTCGATGTCAGTACGTCTCGCTATGAGGGGAAGATGAGAATTGTCGATAGACATCATTTTTGATACCAACTGAACGGCAGGCGGTAGGAGTATGCACGTAAGCGATGAAAAGGCGCTCGGTGTTCATTCATTATACACGTTAGCTGCAGGTGGAAAATATCTAAGCTTTTGTGCCGCAATACAAATGAAAAGGAAAAATCATGAAACAGGCACGCTGGCTAAGTCAGCAGTAACGGATGGACATCGTTCCGGAGCACTAACTATTGTGACCCAAAACAGGAGTTATATTTTGGCTAATAAATGAGATCGAGTTTCAGGGGAGGTTAAGCGGTATGGGGAGGGACAAAGGAACTCACAACACAAATACCATGAGGGTCTGCTCCTAGCCATGACAACAAGGGTATCCAACCAAACATATTCATCGTCCTTCGGTCCATAAACAGAGAGCCGAGTGGTTCCAATCGAAGCTAACTTCGAAATAAGGGTCTTCATCCCTCTTGAACAAGTAATCGCTTGGCTAACTCTCCTCTTCTTCCATCCACACCCTCGTGCGAAAAAAAAACACGTCACCAGAGTCCGTGGGCTGGCATGCGCAACGCGTGGCCCAGCCAACGGAGCCTGGTGCGTGAAATAACGGTGCTGAGCTGTTCGCTTCTTCTTCCTGCGCCATAAACAAGGCAACGAAGACGCTCATTACTCACACGCTGTTCCCACCAGATATGAGCCAAACGGCGAAGGCACCGGTGGTCGAATGTCCGGCTGAATTGTACACTCTACCCTTCAAGGAGAGAGTGATGTTGCGCCGGCGCCATAAGTGGCGAAGGTTAGCAGAAGCGCCTTGAACTTTTGCTATACGGCTTATGACCTCGTCTTCAACTCCAACGGCGCTGATACAACTATCTAGATAGTTGAACTTTTGTGCGACTTCTAGCTGGTCCCCACCAAGGATCAGCGCAGGAGGCGGTCCCTGCCAATCTTAGAGGAGATCTTTGCACCTGGAGGGTGCAAAGCATAGCCCGAAATGGTTGACAGCCTGTGCTAATCTGTCCGGTGCCGCTTGGCACGTCTGGGAGCTGTCACAGATGAGGGCAATGTCGTCAACATACTCCAAATTAATAAGTCGTTCGCCTGGGAGCAGTTCCACACCTGCTAAGTTGAGTCCTGTGAATGTGATTTCCATGATTTCGCCAGTAGCGGCACTGGTATCCAGTCAAGTAGATGACTTTCAGTAGGTTTTCTGAGAACGAGACCGACATCGTTAATAACTAGAGCCATTGATTCAGTATCGCCGGTGAGTAGAAGAGTCCAGACAGTGTCAGCAGATTGGGAATCAGGAAGTTCAAAACTCATGACGACACTACCATCGTGTATGCGTGTTTTAAAGACAGTACACATGAATACCGAGAGAGAGTGAGTTATGCCTGTCGGCCGACGTGAGCTGGCTAACGTTCAAAGAACCAATGTGAAATGAGACTTTCGGGCTGATGGACGAGTTACATGTATCCATGGTAACAGCTGTGAGGGGGAGGAGAAAAACAAGGGGTACTGTGGACGGCTTCGTGTGCATCAGCCGCTCTACCAGTGGGGCGCATACATTAAGGTACACAAGCGCCATGAACTCATCCGGATGAAGATGTCGCCGTCGATAGGCAGGGATGAACGCTAATCCCATCCAATGCTCAACAGGTTATGAGAACAAGATCGTGAAAAATTTGCGAAGCAGCGTTATTAGTGGGAACACCTTGGCAAACATAGATATTTCCGACTGCCGCATCTGAATTGTCTATAAGCTGAACGAGAAAAAGGGACAAAATTCGGACATCCCTATGACAAAAAGTAGCTGCCAAAGATCGTCAATGGCAGGCTAGAAAATCAGTGTCGTTCAGTGGCAACATCCCGTTTTTTATATCAACCCTATGTAAGCCAACGCATGATTGATGTGACACTGGATGAGAATCGAAGCACGGAGAGCTTGATAGCAGACTAAGGCGTCATGACGCGGCACGACCGGGAGTGACAGTGGAGACGTTTCACCATACAGTGTGTCGTTGAGTAGGAACATGGTGTTGGCTGGGTTACTCTGTCTCTGTTGGCTCTTCAAGCGAGACCTAACAGCTAGAGCTAGGTTGCTCTTGCTCAATGACGACCCAGGTCGTTATAAACTGCTTGGGATCGGAGCTACCAGATATGGCATGACCTTGGCTCCACCGAAATGCCAGATATACTGCACCCACCTACCCCCGTGCTGATTCCTGAGGGCGCGCAGCTTGAACAAGTAAACACTTTTATCCAACTGGAAGACTACGCTTTTTATGATGGCACCGTCGTAAGTTATTATTTGCCGTATTGCCAAGGCACAAGCAACTTTCGCTGATCTGAAGTATCTGTGGCGGTACCTCTCGGTAAAGGGCAGGGTCTACAATGTCTGTGTTCGCGGGGTTCTGACTGATCGGTGTACATGATTTGTGTCGGATTTTGGCTTTTAACAACGGTTATTTGCGCAGTATAGCTCGTGTGTGGTGGGAACACCCCGTTTGCAACGTCGACGTTTAATGTCGCGTACTGAGTAGTACAGGCCTCCCTCTCGACAAGCTAATACCGCTGCGTCATCTGATGTGGCTAGGTCACCTCCTAGGCATGTTGTGCGTGTTTACCACGGCGCCTTCTATTCGCTTGCACAAAGCCGCATTGGAAGAAATCGCGCGGTGGCCAACCTACCACTTAGCGACAAAACGCTAAGGCACCGACTTCCAGCCTGTTTTCAGTCCAGTACGTCTTTCGGGCTGGGTAGTCAGAGATGAAGGACATCGCTGGTTTGAGGCTCTTGAGGATGTGATGCATAACCACAGACGATGTAAGGTCTGCACGAGTCTATGCACTCTTTCTACTGATCAACACCAATCACCATACTGATAAAAAGACAAAACGGCATGTGAAAAAATCCGAAAAACGTTTTTTATGTACTTTCCATTTTTTGACTTCTGTGCTTATTACACACATTCAATCCACGGTGTTAGATGGCTCAATTTCTATCGTATAGATGGTAGATAAGTTTATATATATATATATATATATATATATATATATATATATATATATATATATATATCATGCTGCGGTCGCCCGATACCTACGCAGGCTCGAATCCGTGCCCTCGGGCAAACTTGTGATTCTTATGGCCACGGCTCGGTCACTAAACGTGAAATGCTACCTTGGTTGACGAACCGATCAACCACTTCCAGTGTTTGTTCTGCGATAGCTAGACGCGGTGGTGTATGTGCAAAACTGTAGCTTTGTAGATACATAAAGAGTTTGCTGATGAGTGCAGTTAGATTAAATATCACAGGCATGCACCTCTGGAGCATGCGAAAAAGCAGCCATCCACGAGCTCTTGCGAGGGTTTAGGATATTTAACTCCAGTAGCGTGGTGCAACGGTTTAAATGCCTCAGCGATCCATTGAGTTATGCTGGGTGGTGCTTCCTGCATCTTCAGTCACACATACCAGGGAAGTTGAGTTCTTCTGACCTGCGATTGTCGATCCATCTGGTGTGGGCAATTCGGGATTTGGCACGGAACTTCCATCCAGCGTAGAGTCGTGGGTCACAATTGAAAACATATCGTTGCATAACATTAGGATGTACAGTCTTTGTGATTGTTTTTATTCAAAAGTGTTTGTGTAGGCCCAGAAAAACTCGCGTGGTCCCCATATTTTAAGGTACACATTCAGGCACACAATAAAAGCACTACTCCACAAAAAGGAGAGAAACAGACATTGGTGATCAGTTAGATCAACAGTATAAAATAGGAAAAGAAGGGATGGGAGAGTACTGACATACAAAACTCAACGCGGTGGACTCAATAGGGCGATCCTTGCAAACCCACACATGGCACTGGTAAAGATATTATAAGGAATAAAAGACTTCTGATACACATTATAACAAGGCGCCATCTAATCAATCAGATGTTGCCCACAAGTTAATCTTCATAGAGTATGTCGCTACTCAAGCGCTCTAAAAACAGACTCTTTATCAGGAGACGATTAGCTAGAAAAGCAATTGATAGCCAAAAGAAGCACAGCTAGACGTTTCCCATAAATCTACGTTGAATAAAAAACAAAAGTAAAACCCCAACGTTGGAAAGATAAATACAACAACAGAAGTCACAAAGCCTAAGAATAAGGAGTCGAAAGAAAAACAAATAGTTTGAACTCATCAATCTCAGAGAATAAAGTATATATACACAACAAAGTGAAAGGAATGCGGAGAAAACGGCATGGAAAAAGCAAAAGCATAACGATGAAATCAACGCGACAGTCTGCTGTGTAATGACGGAAGATCCGGGAATCGGAGTTCTTTAAGTTTCTGATGAAGGTTCAATTCCCTCACAGCCGAGACGGCTCTCGCAGGAGCACCAGATAAACCAGTCTGTCGATAGAAAAAGAAGCATGAGAATAAATGAAAATCGGACACGTCCAATCAGGTATAAAACAAACAACGGTCATACTGAGGACAAACTGTTTCTAAAAGTTGGCAACCCTCACATCGTAGATGATACGTGTTTTTATGAAGCCACCAAGTGCAATGGCGTAGGACAGTCTAGCTCGGTGAATAACTCGTCTAACGCTCTAAACCACAATCTACGCAGATATTTGAAAAGTGGCTATGGATGGATCTAAGCAAACAGGGGATTGCCGAAAGAGGATGCAATAATAATAATAATAACAATGATAATAAAAATAATAGTGACAATAATGTGACAGCTGTACGCCGTAGCCGCGCTCCGCTGCCATGCGATCATCACCAGTCGCACACGGGCCGAGTATACCGCAAGGACACCCACCCCTACGCGGATTCGAACCCGCGCCGCAAGGTTAGGAGACAAGCCCGTTACCTCTGGGCTACGGGCCAACCATTAGATGAAGTATGTCTTCGATAGATGCTGCATGATGTATTAGTTGTTTATCGCAAAAATTAGCGTCACAATGCAGCCTACGGTTGTCAGCGAGATGACGTTCGAGCGCGCCCTTCTTCTTCAGCGAGTCTGCAGCGATCCCAGAATGCGGTTGAACCTCATCTCGGAAATCTGACTTTCCAATAGATGCGCAGCTGAAAAGGATTCATACATTGACACACACACACACGTATATATATATATATATATATATATATATATATATATATATATATATATATATATATATATATATATATAGGGGACAACCAGGTCATTGATCAGCAAAAAATGGTTTGGAAACCAAGCAACCCGAGTTCATCGTCCATGAAGATGATTTGATCGCGGTGATCACAAGGTTGTCAAGTCCAGAAAATGAATCAATGCGCAGGAAGCTGCGTCATAGGCTACAACAAGTCGTCATTGGTTCGACTTGTGTAAAGTTCGCTAGCGCACTGTAAGTTATTTAACAAACAGGAACATATTTGAAATTGACATTCAAGGTAGTTATCTCAGTGTCGAATGGAGAGCACAAAGCAAAAGAAGAGAAAATGGATGTCTGTTTTGGATTGATTAAAACGCGGTCCAAATTCAAAGTGTGTGTCGCAACCCAGTGGATGATAAAAGAACAGAAGAGAAACATCCATCAACAGGCGGTGGTTTGTTCAGGTCAAGTAAACAACTATGATCAGTACCAAAATGTGGCGCGTATAGGTGCCGTCAGTTGTGTTAACATGACAATACTAAAAGATAGTGGTGGAAGTGAAGTAAACGCAGGGTAGAGTAAGGAGAAAAGTGGCAATGAAAATAAGTAAACGAAACAAACCGATCAGGAGCGTTAACAGTGAGTTGGAAGAGGCCAAATGCAGGACCGCCATTGATCAGACCACATAGTTGAACTGTGCCTCACACTACCGAGGGATGTATCATTTAGTTATTTATTTATTTATAGTACTTACTACCATGGACGCAGTAGATACGGAAGTCCTGTGAAGACAGAAGATATGTAAAAGATCATAAAAGTATCTCGGAATATGCTTGGAACCGACTGGGATTTCATGATTTCAGAAGGTTTGAATGCAAATCGGTTTTGCTAGGGTTTTATTGTGGCAACGTTTCGCCCTCGACACAAGAGCTTCTTCAGGCCAGGTGAATTGTTACAAAATTGGCTTAGCTTTTTATGGGAACGCAAGTTGAAGGTTGCAAGTCATAACATGAACAATTGGATAATAATGTTACAGGTCAAGTGGCCACGCTAATGAAACAACAAGCATCGAGCGTTTCTCATTGATCCACGTCATCGGTCGTTCACATGTGAGACATTCCTTTTCTTGCAGCTGTTGATTCACGCTCCGACCTGAGTTCGTCCGCCGACATCTTTTCTGACTGACCGGGTTAACACAGTCCGCCACGCGTTCGATAACTCCACCCCGTCTGTTCTGTTCACACAGTTATTAGTCTTAGTAATCTCGATCGCCTCAGCAACTAACCTTTGGCCTGTTGCTGGTAATCCCCTCCTAAGTATCTCGACATTGTCCCAATCAATCGCGTGTCCTGCCTCTAGCGCATGTACGGCCACCGCTGAATCTTTTGGTAGGGCCCTGTATTCAGGCTCATTTCTCGGTGGACGCGAAACGTACCTCTTGTGTTCTGCTATCCTCGTGCGTAGCTCTCTCGTTGTTTGACCTATGTACACGTGTTCACAGTCTTTGCAATTGATTTTATAAACACCATTTGTCGTCCTGTCTCTTGGAAGTGGATCCTTCAAACGCACAAGTGCTGAATAGAGCGTTTGGCCCTTTCGAAAAACCACTCTTATTTTCTCCTTGTTTAGTACTCGTCTGATTGCTTCTGAGGTTCCCTTTTTATAGGGGATTCCCACTGTCCCAATCCACTCCGTTGTGCGTCGCGGAGGTGGATTTAGAGCTCTCTGCAAGTGGCGCATTTCGTCGTGCCGAATATCACCCAACAAGCTTTATCCAATTAGCTTCATTAGTGACAAAGAACGCACGATGACGAAGCCGACTTGCAGGAAATGCTGAGACATCTACTTGTTTATCTTCCCCCCCGCCCCACCCCCGCAACTCCCTTTTTGCGGTCTATTGAGCAGGAGACTGCCGGTGAATTCGCAGCTACTGCCAGCGACACGTGACTCGTCCATAAAACCATGAGTCCCATTTCACACTGGATTTCTACCATCCGCAGTCTGGGTAAGATCGACCAACAGGCATCACTAATTCTCAATCTTCACTATTGATAGTGATGTATTCTGTCTTCGAAACGCGCGAATCAGTGGACTCTGCGTCTCTGAACGTACTGAGTAAATGGCTCAAGATATTTACGGGGTCGGTATTTCCTCCAGTAAACATGTTGAAAGCAACCTATTCGAATGGATATCGGTGAACAGCCGCATGTGTGCGGTTCGATTTCGAATCTCTATTGAAGTTAATAAGCACTGTTGAAGAGGTGTATGTTCACGGCAGCATCCAACAGAAACCCAGTATGGCACCATATGATTTTGCAAACACTGAGTGCAAGAAGCATCAACAAATCGCCGGTACGTCAAGGCGAAGATTCGCTACTACGCGACCACCAGCAGTTGTGTGCGGGCTAGCGAGACTGCAAGGCTACACGCACCGGCGACATGTAGATTACAAATTCGACACGTTGTCCAATCGGTCAGCAGATGGACACTAAATACAAGTAGGCGATACGGATATGGACAATAAATTGCAAACATCGGAGGTCATCTCTCCGATTCCCACAGTATGGGTGGTTGCGCTAAAGCGTTTCACAGCGTCCCTTTGACTGATAAATTTGGGTACAGCAGTCTCCATGAAGAGGTGAAGAACTCAGAAGCTACACAAAATTATAGCAATGTATACAATGATCTCTACGATAATGCTGTCACCAGAATTGATACAGATACCTAAGTGAATAAACAAAGTAATAGCGTCATCGTTGTTTATAGACAACTGTTAGTGAGCCGATTCTGTCCTGTGAATGTGGTTTGAGTTTTAAAGGCATGAAGCATATGCCGAAGCGCGCAACAGTTCGTGTCAACCTGCCTAGTCCAGGGGTCGAGTTTGAGCCTCAAGCGTTACCCAGTCCGCTTACTCTAATAGTAACAGACTATTTAAGGATTGTCTCCACAGCCTGGTTATGGTCAATTAGCCCAAAGGTGTTCCAATTTAGCCCCCGCATGGACCCGATTCTCCTAGGTCAATGTCCGGTGATTTAAGTAATGTCCTAAAATCAGAACACCGCTTTTAAATACGCTCAGAAACGCATCCGAGATATGTGCTCAGATTCGAGAAGTAGGTACTTTACAAGTCTCGTTGGGTTGTTATCTGGGAGTAATCATAAAAATTACAACAGAAGAGTTTGCGTATTACTTCTAGCGTTGTCTTCGCACTGTCTTACAGCATAAATAAGTTACATAGACAGTAAAGCAAAGAATTTTGTTCCGGAAGTGAAATGTGAGGATAATGCTAAGCGGTGAAAGATAGGCAACCAGGTGTTGCCACCACCTGTCTTTCAAATAAGAATATCATCGCAGCGAAACCGAAGGATTCGGGGAGTCCGTTAGATACACGAACCAAAGAGAAATTTCTGTAACAATCCAAGCGATTCTAATGCTTCGATAGGTTCAGGGAGTGGCCTTTTAGGTTGGTGGACTCCAATAAACAGCGATACGTATCCTGGATTAAGCGAAATCACACAAATTATCATTAGATCGCCCTCTAATGGGCACTAGCATCCAGTGAATGATTACAAGCACTTAAACCACTGTGTTATTGGAAATTACGTACTTCAATTGAGAGATTGCAAATCCCACGTTGAGGTTACTCCGGAACGAGCGGATCGTGTTCTAATCATGGCTATCAGGGTTAAAGAGCGTATTCAACATGGGAAATTTGGCAGAAAGTAGAGTACTGCGCGTTGGAAAACTCAGCCCAGTTCCCTATTTTGTGAGTTAGGGTGATTACTCTAAGCATCCACGTGGTAGAAATCAGGTTCTGATTTGGAAACCACTAAAAGAACTGAACCAAAGGTTCCGTCAGTTCCTCAACCGCCCATTTTAGTGTTATACAGGTTAATGATTCCCACGCTAAAGGAGGCTGTGCTTGTGCAGAGAGGTCAGGTTTTGCAATGCAGCTTCAGCTTCAGAGCTAACTGAGTCCTGGCGACGGCATGATGACCGCATAACAACAAAACACGTTGAAGAGCGGGAGTATAACGTATTTTCATATCGCTGACCGTTGTTATATAAGATATCAACGTCTAAGTCATGCGTGTGCTGTTGTGTTTCGGCTGACAGTACGGATAAGAGATACAGTCAGTCGGGTCACGATTCAGCCACTTCCCAAATCAGAAGATAAAAGCCTCAGGCGGAAATTGTATGGAGCTCGCAGACGGTCCGTTACTGTTGCTTCGACTCATCGTGGATGACCTGCCCGATAGTCCCGAGCGTAGACCGGAAGGCTTCCAATGACGAATTCATTGTGCTTGGTGAAGACAGCAGATTGTCTTCTTGCCCACAACAATGGGTGCAGCCCAAGATGAATAGTTCAGCGGCTGAACAATCCCTGCTCTCTCTAAGCGATGCAGCTCCTGGTCAACCATTGGTGTGACCGCGTAAGGTACAGAGCGCCTCATAGGAAACACTCGAACAGCATCAGGCTTAAGGGTCAGTGAAGCTTGTACTTCAGTGCACTTACCAGGGCCTTTCCGAAAGACTGCTGCATAGTACTGCCGTAGGCACTCGATGGCTACAGTGTTAGGGGCTGTTGACTTGTTTATCTGGACACTGACACAATTTTGGTTGACTGAAACATCAATAAGGTTGAAAGGCTCGATCACGTTCAGACCTAAAAGATTCTAACGTTGGTGGCTCGTGAGGAAACTTTTCGCCCATACGGTAAAGTCGGCAAAACGACACGCACAGTCGACTTGACCAAGGAATTTCAACTCGACATGTAGTGCTGACGGGCAGGTTTTAAACTTGGCGATCCGACAATTCTCCACAACTTTTCTGATATGACTGTGATGTCTGAGGCCGTAGCGAACTGCAAACGCGTCCGTCTTCCATTAATGTGCATGTACTTTCTACGATCTCTAACATCGTCAGTAAAATCGGCTTTCAAACTCTCCGCGAAACGACCGTAGGTTTTCTTTCGAACATCATAAACCTGTCTGAAAGATGACTTGGATGTGCAATGACCTTCCTTGTGCCCACGTATAGGGCATTTTTGGCAGTTATGCTTGTTGAATGGACACCAACTAACAAAAAGCCAGTCATGAGGGAGCATCTTGAAGTCAGTGGCTGGAAACTTGTACCTCGAAGTCTGCTGATCTGCGAAATCAGTGGTATGTGTCTTCGTATCCTGGACCATAGCTGTATCGTGATTTAAGTCGATAATTCTCTGGGCACCTACAATGACAGTTTGCAATATGACTTCCAGGTCTTGCTCCAACAACCCGATCTAGGCACCCTTGGGAGATTGCAGGCTGCATACCAAGATCAGACAATCAAATTGGGCTTCAGTAACTCAGTTCAGCTTGAATTTCTGCAGAAGCACAGTGAGTGGTGATTCGCTCGCGCCACCTATTATGAACCTGCAAAAACCGGATGCTCCGTCCTAATCAGCTCGCTCTACGCTCTGGGGAACACAACACACGTCTTATGAAGAACTCATGTTGCGAGGATCAAGTCTCAATCATTTATAGTACTTGCGATCCACAAATTTCGTCCGCAAAGAGAAAGCCGGTCCATCCTAACGAGAGTAATTGAGAACGAGAAACATTGAAATAGAGGAACATCGTAGAGAATTGGACGCAATTCTTGTCCCTATTATTAGCACATTAATAACCGTAGTGTTAATAATTAATGGCGCGAGTTAAGCTACAAGGAACCCCGCACTTCGGTCCACGAAGGAAAAAAAGAAGCTTCGTTGCTACGTCGCCAACAGCAGTCGCGCGCCGGCTGCGTATACTGCAAAGTCACCCATGCCTAGGCAGACTTGAACCAAACGTATAGATTACAGCCTCGATGCTTAAATTACTCAGTCACCTTTCAACCACATGAGTACACCAGCACAAAGCTTGGAACGCAAATGGAGTCTGCACCAAGTTAAGAATGCGCCACTATTTCTTGTCATTCGCTTAGACTCCTGTACATTTCGTGCGATGAGTTCCAGCTCAATGAATGGTGGTGGTTTCATGTGTCCGGAAGAAAACAAATTAACAGTTAATGATAAATCGTTTCGGAGTAATTGGATTAATTTCGGGCAATGGTAAGCATAAGAAGAGGGAATACTAATGCGCTCACTTCTTGTTTCTCTATTTTCGCTTGTTCATCAAACATGGCAGTTATCTCACTGATGTGAGTTTCCATAACCAGCCCACCAAACACCAGCTCATTTAGAATGTAATGAACCTAGAAGAAAGGATGTGATGAAAGGCAGATGTACAAATAGCATACTTTGTCCACATGGAAGATCAAGTCCAATTCGCAAACGTTCTCAAAGCATTTGTCTAAAGCTTCGACGAATACTTGGATTAGATCAAGAATGCCCAATTCGCTTTCGGATGAGTCCACACAAAACACGAAATACAAAGTAGCATAATGACGATAGATTAATCGATAATCCTCGCCACCGACAAGCCTAAAATGATGTAATGACGAAACCGAGATAGGAAGGATTACATCCCCCCTTCCAAGAAGTTGCACACATCGTCATCACGACGGGAGACTAATTGGAAGGTTTCATTTAATATCTGTTGTTGAACGTCCTCGGTCTGAAGATTGTATGAAAGAAGAGTTGAAGTACCCACATAATGTTCGTAAAACTTCATCAGTCTTGGTTTTCCATGATTATTGAAAATAAGCACTGCCCTGATCATTTGTTAGACGACTGTTGTAGGAGTTAAGACGCTGGGGACAAGATGCAAAGAACAAAGCTCAGAGGTGACAAGATGAAGGAAAAATGATTCAGTTAATCCTGAAATTAAAAATGAGAAAAATTCTCAGAAGAAATGGGTCGCAGAAAAGTAAACCGAAGGCCTATTTGGGAAATTTATCAATCATCGTCACTCGACAGGTTATCTACAGATGGGAAATTTTTCAGTTACTATAGAAGGCAAAGGCATCAACAGTACGCTGGTACCCAGTACTGATGCTTCGATGCTGCGCATCTACCACCAGCTGCATGTCGGATATGGATACTGCGAGGATCGCCCTGTCGCTACGCAGGCTAGAACCCGCATCGTCAGATTACAAGTCAAGTTTGTTACCTTTAGGCTACTGACATGCTACCATGTTGCAATACAGTTCTGTTAGATTGTGGAAAAGGATGATAAAACAAAATAAAATACGAACAAATCACAAGGGAAATGACAATGATAAATTTGCTGAGCAGTGTTATGCACCACGAAAGCTTCCGTGAGAAAAGCCCGAATGGTGAAACACGACAAGCACGCCGTGTACAGATTCACGTGTAGAACAGTACAGGAAAGGATCCAGGGACGAAACAGAGGCTTCCGCTGAACAAGCGTCGCGTTTCGTGTGCCAGTAAGCGAAAAAGAGCCCCCCCGCACTGCAACTTGTTAGAATGTTTTTGATTCTATAATGATGAAAAACAGAAGCAGATGCAAGACGATCAACACACTTTCATGCAGTAATGAGAACAGGGGCAGTCACTGAAGCTCAAGGAAATTCGGGAAACAGGGCCAGCTAATGTTTGTCTAGGCTACGTTTAAATTCCTCCACAGTTTCGCATGCTAATAGAGCAGAAGGAAGTTTATTCCAAAGAGGCACAACCCGGTTTGCGAAGAATCTGGCTCTTAAGTTTAGCCTATTTCTTTGCTGCTTAAATTTCATGCAATGGCCCCGCAAGTTGTCTGACGTAGCTGGTTCAAACAGATCGGTGCGCCTGAGACCACTGAGACCTTTCATGATTTTGAACGTCTCTATTAAATCACCTCTTAATCTGCGTCTTCTCATTGAGAACAAACTCAAGTTAGCTAACCGATCTTCATACGATAACCCGCGCTGGCCTTCTGTCATCCGAGTGGACAGTCTTTGAACATCTTCTATACAAATAATATGTTCTGCAGGTAGGGTGCCCAGACCTGAACATCATCATCATCAACAGCAGCAGCAGTACATCAGCCATTTGAACTGATGCTTCACTGCCATACAACCATGATGACCTATGAAATAAAGAATAAGAAGAGGGAGAGAAGGGGGACTTACCTGAAAATCTTAATTCCCTAAGCAAACATTCAAGGTCAAGGCGCCTACACCTTGTGTTAACAACATACCATCACAAACAGCTGGCTATCGTGCAAAGATAAGGCCGCCTCGGTGAGACAGCTTCCTTGCGGCTTTCATTGCCCCGCGTCATAATCAGCCATTACCCCGCAGATAACTCAGCATCAAACACATTTTAAACAGGCAATCTGATTAGCAGACGGCAGCAGACGCACCACTGGTGTCAGAGCGTGAATCAACAGTTGCTATAAGGGAATGCCCAACATGTGAACGACCTGTGAAGTGGATCAATGAGAAACGCTCGATGTTTGTTGTTTCACTAACATGGCCACTTGACCTATAACGCTATTATCCAATGGTTCATGTTATGTCTTGCAACCTTCAACTTATGTTCTCATAAAAAGCTAAGCCAATTTTGTAACGATTCACCTGGCCTGAAGAAGCTCTTGTGTCAAGGGCGAAACGTTGCCATAATAAAACCCTACCAAAACCGATTTGTATTCAAACCTTCTGAAATCATGAAATCCCAGTCGGTTCCATGCATATTCCGAGGGAGGTTAGTGCTTTTCAGAGGACCTCACCTCCATCCTTAAATAGTGCAGGCGAGAAGGAATCCGGGCCAGCGGCACGAAAAGGATTGAGGGATGTGACCACAGTTCGGACCTCGACCTCCGACGGAGACTCTAAACTAACCGTCCATGGCTCGTACCGCACAACCTGAGAAAGAAGAGATCCGGGAGCAGGGGGTCAGCTGAACTGAACCGCCCAACGAACCATACGGCGCTCCTAATTGTGTATCAGTGCACTCGTGCTGTCTCTGATTGTCTCACTGACGCCTGGTTTCCTGGGACCAGTGGTGCGGATTAGCTGGAAGAGCTTGCGGTAATTGCCTATTGTGCCCGTCTCCTTCATTTCTGGAGTCCGACTGGTCCACCAGGTTTCCTTGTCAGCAAGTAGGCTCTGCTTTAGTTCACACCTAATAGCCCGTCCTGTCACATTGTGTTCAGAGCCAGTCGGGAGGTTTCTTCTAGATTCCAACAGGTTTACCGTGCTCTCGGATATCCAGTGACTGGTGCGATGACGATGGTTAGTGCACCTTGATAGGCTTGCCTGAGCGAGGACTGAGACATGAAAAGTCCAACTTTGAGGACTGAGACAATTTCTCAGTTGCCAATCGGGGAAGACGCTTGGCACGACTCCCGGTAAAGTTCAGGGAGAAACGACAGCGTACCAAGGCATGATCAGAGTCGATGCAGGTACTCCAGTACGAGCGGCAATCCAGGACGGAACTACGCCAGCTGTAACTTATGGCTATGTGGTCAATTTGGGTCCATCGCTGGCCAGCTACAGGAGGACGCTAAGTGGCAGTTCGGCACCCACTGTGTCTAATAGTGCTAGTAAGAAACAACTGGTGCTCTGCACACAGTTGCAGCAGACACTCACCGTTGTCAGTCCGTTCGGAATTAAGCACATAATCAGCACCCAGCTGAGCTTCTGAAGAGCTCAGACGCCCTATTTGTGCTTTCAGATCCCCTGCAAGCACTAGAATATCTGAACTAGTAGCACTGCGTAGTAGCGCGTTCAGTTCGTCATAGAGTGTCCTTGACAACATCTGAACTACAGTCGGTGGGAGCATAAACGGAAATCACAAACAGCGTTTTGTATTACTTCGTGAATCCACCTAGGCTGATGTCGTCAAACGGCTGTTCACCAGAATCCAATCAACCGACGATGGCTCAGCCTTGGAGCTGAGAAGGATACTACACCAGCTTGACCCGTGGGTGCTGCATGGGCGTCTCCGGATTCGTGCAACCAATAACAAGAGGAGAAGCCGGGTGCAGTTAATGCAATAACCGCGTTAGGGTCATTGATTCCAGTTTCGGACACACAACACACATCAATACCCAGTGTGTCTAAGGTGCGTGCGAGTGCAGCCTGTTGACCTATTTGTCTTAGAGTGCGAACGTTGAAAGTCGCCATGGAAACGGAATAGCGTGGCCGTATAAGGGACTTCTGCCGATAGGTGCTATGGGTTGGTGGCTGCAGATGGTTCCACTCCAGTGGCACTTCGGTTGCTGTCAATTAGGCTGGAAATTGTAGAAGGTTAGTAATGGGAGTCGGGATGGGAGTAAGAGTAACAGGTGAAAAAGGAAGAAGGGAGACGCCAGCAGTAGCATGTTTTCGTTTATCCGCCCTGCTGTATGCAGAGATAAGGCGACCCTTGATAATCTGCGCGACGGCCGTTGCAGGATAAAGTTTGTTGGAAGAAAATGTCATGGTTGTACGTGGGCTACAATACTGCCAGAGCGCCCAGACCTAGACAGGAGGACGATTAGGGTCATCAACCAAAGTCTTTGGTTCAAAAACCTGTCCGCAAGGCAGCGGGGAGGTAGCAATGATTTAGTTTTATAGCAATGGTCGCCATCCCATTTCAAACCTCCAACCTGGAGGACCAGGAGACTGAGTTTGTCTGACCTTTCACCATTGACCAACCTGGTAGCTCTCAAGGTGTCCGGAGGCATCACCCAGTTTAGCTCAATGGGTCAAAAAGGTAAGAAAACCGTCGTACCACATTAAGGTCCAGTCTCGTTGCGACGGTCCAGACCTGAACAAAGTATTCCAGATGTGGGCTGATTACAGCTTTGAACAAGGGAAAACCACCGGTTTGGTACAACATAGAACTCGGCTGAAACGAAATAAGTCCTGTCACGCTTTATTAGCCGCATGCCCGTACTGCCCTGAGGGCTTAAAGTCACTCGTCACGTGGACACCTAGATCACGTGTGCAGTGCTAGAGCCCCATTATATGTATGCACAGTAAACTCTTCATCAAGTGGGGCTAGGATTTGATATTTGCTGGTGTTTAGTGGTAAGTCCCATAAATGTCATCATGATCATCAGTATACACGTCAGCTAGAGGTGGGAAACACCTCCGCTATTGTAGCGCAATACATAAAGGAAATACATACATACATAAAATACATAAAGGAAAAATAAATACGACAGTTGCATGCCAGCTGAGCTACCAGCGACGGATAGGCATCGTTCCGGCAAGCTATCAGCCGGCTACTAGGAAAAACCAAATTTTAATTATGTTTTACCCTACGAAATAAGATCGTAGATGGAGGGAGAGGCTAAAAGGGATGGAGAGGGACAAAGAAACTCACAGCACGAACGCCACTGAGGTCGGCTCCTTGCCATGTCAGCAACTGTATCCAGCCAAACGTGTTCACCGTCTTTTGGACCCCAACCAGGGAGCCGTGACGCTCTAAACGAGGCCAGCTCAGAAGTGAGGGACTTCATTCCTCTGGACCAAGTCATCGTTTGGCCACCCCTCCTCTTCTTCGACCCACATCCCGATGAGCAAACAAAGCACGTCATGGAACTCGATAGGCTGGCATGCGTAACACGTGGCCCAGCCATCGGAGCCTGGTGCGTGAAATCACGGTGCTGAGCGTTTCAGTTCCTTTTCCTGTGCCGTAAACAAGGCATCGAACACGCTCGTTACTCACGCGGTGTTCCCACCAGATGTGAGCCAAACTGCGAAGGCACCGATGGTCGAACGTAACTAGCCTCTTCATGTCCGCCGATCTTACGGGCCAGGTTTCGCAACCGTACAGTAAGGTCGAACC